AGTCACCCTTAAGCATCTCTCCAGTCCTGTGATGGTGTAGATTTTAAAACTTTGCCTTCCCTGTTTTAATAATAACACCATCAGATATTGATTTTCTAAGGCAGAAAATTCAATGACAAGAATGGCAAATGAAATTATGATTTATAAGTGTCTCTGATTATTAGCATAAGTGTTTTGTTCAAGTTTCATGAATCTCTGACAGGATACATGCAGAGCAAATTCTACTTACTATTCTCAAATGAAATTAAGATGTATTCATAAACCAGAAGAAGAATGGCATTGTTGTACAAGTGTGCAAGCAATTTTAATGTCTACCTTCACAGAAGACAGCTGGGGTCTCCTGTGTGTGCCCATGTTCTCTCTGCTGGTTTGGTTGAAGCCTCTGAAGAGGTGGCCCCACAAAGATACACAACTGTAAGATGGATGAGTGTTTTGATGGTCTTTTTAGGCACCCCAAGTCGAGGTTATTTCTTTAGAGAATGCACAAGGATGGTTTTCTACTTTTATTATCCTTTCTGATTTTATCTCCTACAAATCATTTTCATGTTTCTTTCTTCCAAAAGTAAATTTGCTATTTTTAAATATAACTTATAATGGAAATCTTGTGCTGGGCAATTGTTTTAAATTTAATTATCAATTTTCAAGGCAAACAATGTGCATCCTAGAAATTTCTAGAGTTTTCCAGTGAGTTTTGTGTCTTTCTCTCACTTGTTCCTTTTTGCATTATCATGATGTTTATACATTCAATGTGTTTTAGTCACTTGAATTATATGTAAATTATCTTCAGCCCGTGTCTTAGTTCATTTTCTGTTGCTAACAACATAATACACAGGCTGGGTGAGTTATGAGGGAATAGGATCTATTTCTAGCCCATGGTTCTGTTCCCAATCAGGGGGACACACCTAGTTCCTTCTGGGTTTCTGAGTCCTGTGGCAGTGAAGGACATAAGTTGAGACAAAGCTAAACTGAGACCCAGAAAACTGGATGTTATAGCAGACCCTTTCCTGATGTAACTCTCGAAGTTAGTGTTCTCCTAAGCCACAGGGCAACCCACTCTGATGACAAAGCTCTAATCACCCATTCTACCTGCTCCCACCTCTTAATCTCCCTCTGTGGCCTTAAACATCAGCTTGAGCTTTTGAGGGCACAAACCATCTCCAGGGCATAGCATCAGCGTGGCTTTGACACACTCTTCTCAGCCTTCCGTAAAGTCAAATTCTCTCTCACAAGAGGTCATCCCATTCCATGCGCAATGCTTCATCAGCAGTCTCTCAAAGGGATGCAGCTTACTTTGGATGAAAGAAGTAACCTTGAATACTCTGACTCCTTGTATCTGTTGCAGCCACCACTAGGCAGACCTAGAGAATTTAGTTTGAAACAGTGTATACCATGATTTCACCATGCTATCCTATAGGTATTCAAGTATCACTCATTATGAGGGATGTTCTGTGCATTGTAGGATACTTGGTAGGGTGTCAGGACTAACCTCCAGAAGCAACTACCTAAATATCAATTAAAGTTGGTTTCATCCATTGGGGGCTGTCTTGAAGAAGGTTGAGGAAAATTGCCTCAAGCTGCCCTGGTTTCTCTTAAAATTGCACAAATCTTTTAAATGCTTTCTATAAAATATCCTTTAGTTAGAATTTAATGGTAAATGTCTATATTCCAGTAACATTAAAATAAACACTGTATTGTTGCTGGTTTGCATAGCTGTGACTAAACAACTGGCAGAATGACTTTGGGGAAGAATGGCCTGCTTTGGCGCACAGTTATGAAGGGCTCAGCACGTGGAAATTTGGCCCAAGTTGGGAACCAAATCATGAAAGCAGGAATACATGAGGAGTAAGGCCCTCACCTCTCAGACACCAAAAGGAAAGGGCCAGGAACAATTATGCACAGCCTCGAGAGGTGCACTTTCCAGCTAGCCACTGCTTACGGCTTCACCTCCCATTGTGAAACCGAGATTTTATTTTGGTTGCAAGCCTAGCCTTTAACGGCTGAGCCATCTCTCCAGCCTGAGATTTTCTTTTGTTTGTCTTGGTTTTAGTTATAGACAATTTGCTTCTCATCCAATGTTTGGACACATCTGTGACTTCATTGGCTTTGCCCTGCTGTGTTTTCTAACCTGTCTTCATGGCTAAGGTAGCAAACCTCTCAAACAAAGTTCAATTTTTAGTGTTTTCCTTTAAGCCTGCTCGGGTCATGTCTTGGCTTCTTCTCATCCATGTTTTTTTACTTTTCGTCTTAAAATGTATTCATGCTTTCTTCCCTCCCTCAATGCTTTTCAGATTCTCAACTCCCTTCCCACCCACCTTTATGTTCTCCTGTCTCTCTCTCTGTATGTCTCTGTCTCTCTCCCTCCCCCCTCTTCTCCTCCTTTAATTTTTTCTTGATGTTTCAAACACACACACAACATACACACACACACACACATACACACAAAATAAACAAGCAAAAATACAATAAGACCAAAAAACCAAATTACCACAATGAAATAAAGTCCCACAGAAAACCCATGGAGTTCATGTTGTGTTGGCCAACTACTCCTTGGCTTGGGGCGTGCCCTGGAATGGGTTGATAGACCCAGTGACAGTCACCCATGGGTTTTAAACCCCATGTCTTAACTTCATTTGTGCCATTTAAGATTACCTCTCTTTCTCTTTCTTTTTTTTTTAACTTCACTTCTGCATTATAGAATTTGACTCATGTGAAAAGTAGCTGAGACTGTAACAAAGCAACAGGTCTCCCCAGTATTTTATCCAGGACTGCTATAGGCATTTCTCCATGTGCACCAAGTCACACCACCTTGACCTCCACTCTCTGGGTCATAATTCCTGAGACATGCCACAATTATTCACATTTTTTTCTGCATATTTCCCTCTTATTTCCAAAAAAGAATGAAATACTGGGACCTTCTGTCACACATAAATGGCATTTTCTCACTTATCCTCTTATTAAAAGGCAATACGAAGGCCAGAGAGATTGTTCAGTGGCTAAGACCATGTACCGCTCTTACAAAGGACCTGAGTTTGGGTCCCAGCACCCAAGTCAGGCAGCTCAGTGAGATACTGTCTCCAATTAAGAGTGGAAGGTCCTCCCATTCTAGAAGAACAACACATGTGCAGAGACCTGGTGCACACCCATGCAGGCCCTGTGCATGTGCTTCAGTATTTAACTTAGAGGGATTTGCTTCCTTGGTGTCCACCTTTCCCTCTGGCTCTTAACCTCTTTCTGCCTCTTCTTCCATGGGGTTCCCTGAGGAGCGATTTGATGGAGACTTCCCATTTGGGGCTGAGTGTTCCAACGTCTCTCACTCTGTGTAATCTCTGACTGTGGGTCTCTATGTTTGTCTCCATCTGGTGCAGGAGAAGGCTTCTCTGCTGATAGATGAACAATGCTTTAATCTACGAGTACAGCAGAATGTCATTAGGAGTAATCTTATCACTATTTTTTCATTTTTTAGAGCAGTGTTATTTGGTTTTCCCCTAAGTTCCTGGGCATTTTGTCTCAGGTTTTTGGTCGCCCAAGCAGTGTGTGGTAGAGTGGGCCTTTAGTCAAATCAGTTATTGGTTGGTTACTTCCCCAAACTTTGGGCCACCATTGCCCTAGCATAAACACCCTGTAGAAAAAAGGTTTGTGGCTTGGTGTTTATATTACTCTTTTGATAACATGCAGAACATCTTCTTGTACCAAAAGAGGCTGGAACATAGGGGTGGAGGCTTTGTGTAGGCACCAGCAGAATATCATGTTCAATATAGGTGTTGTCTTCAGCAAGGGGTCCTTGTATCACTTTGTGGAGAGCAACCCTATGGTCTTGGCAACAGCCTGGGTTGTTTGGGAATTCCCATGGGTCCCTTTGGTCAATAACTTAATTAGATGTAACCCAATCCCAGTACTGGACACTTCATTGGGTGACAAGAGATGGTCAGTGGAGATTCTTTCTTCTCCATTATTTGGCAATTTCATTTAGATCACCTTTAAATATATGCATGTATTTTAAAAAGTTTCTACTGTATTAGTTTTCCATACTACTCCTCAACCTCACCCCCACTTAATTTTAGCTGTCTCTCCCAATATTTCCTTCCACAACTCCCTCTCCACGCACACCTCCTATATGTTCGAAGAGTGGGTCTCTGATTCTAGTGCCTTCTCTTGGGATCTTTTCTTTCTGTCCAATTTGTCCAATTTCAATGTAATAGTTTTTGTTTTAGCTTATATTTATTTTGTCATATTTTTGAATGAGTTAATGGACGAATGGATAAATGAATGAATGAAAATCTAGCTACCTGGGTAAAGGTTAACACTGAATTATTGTCCTTTATACCTTCTGGGAGAATAATTGGTTTTCTCCAGTAGAGTGACACTGGGTGTATCAACCACTCCAGGACAGACTTTATGTTGTAGTTGGGGCTGCATGATTGTCACGTTCCTTTAGCCAAACAAACTGCACAGAGATTAACCTGTAACTACCTTAGGTTATGCTGTGTCTGCTTCCCTGTTCTGACGTCCCAGCATTTATTTCCAAAGATGATCACAATTTAGAACGGGCTGTGCTTCCAGATATTACAGAATCATTTAGACCATTTGTACATCCATTCCAATCTTCTGTGGGTGCCCACTACAGTGACACATGACATGTAACATGGATTATGTCAACCCCTTAAAGTTTTAACTTTCTGTCAATGTGCTCAGTTATTAGAAATGCTCTTCCCCCTGGAATTTAAATGTTGGACTAAGCAGCTCTTTGCCTGTCTTGACATAAAAATTGTAGTCAATTTGATAATCACAGCTTCCTTATTTAGGTGTAAACAGTTGTTTCTAGCACTCACCATCCACCTCATTTAGACCCTGAAGTCCCAGGTGAGGTCTGTCTCATTTCCAGGATTTAGCAGTAACCAGCAAGACTGGCTGTGAGGACCATTAACTTGGTGCCCTGTGTCTACCCTTTAACTTGGAGTCTTTAGAACTTGTGAATAACTTGTACTTTTTTCATTTTCTAGGGCAACATAACTATTTATGTGCTGGAAGAAATGACTGCATTGTTGACAAAATCCGCAGAAAAAACTGCCCAGCATGTCGCCTGAGAAAGTGCTGTCAGGCTGGCATGGTCCTTGGAGGTAATGCTGATGTTTTCAATAGTGCATCAACAGTATACTATCTTATAACACTGAGTCAGAAGAATCCCATTTTCATTCATCTTTATTCTTGTTTGTCTTGTTTATTGTTAGTGACCATTCATACTCTAGTTTGAAGCAACCAACTATACAATCCTGTTAATGCTATAGACTTCCAGCATGCTAAGTTCTGTTGGGAGAGGAACCCCCATCTGTCTAGGCTGTGTATCAGTAGACTTTATGGTAATACCTGGGCATGCCTTCAGGTAGTATGGGTTGGAGTCTAGGTTCTGCTCCTTACTACTTGCGTGATTTAAATAATTCACCAACCCTTTGGGGACATCAGGATTCATAACTGTAGAATAAGAGAATAGAGATCTCTTTGAGCTCAGAACTTGATTCTGAAACTTTGTGAGATGCAGATTAAGCCTTGACAAACTAAACCAACATGAACTAAAAATCCATTTCATAAATGCGTGATAATAACTCCCTGTCTGTATTTTTGTAATTAGGCTCCCTATGGCTTTTAATAACATAGTAGTAAATACATTAAAGTTGAACCTGGCAGATGAGTGAGTAGGTAAACGTGCTTGCCACCAAGCCTAAGTTCAAACTTCAGAGCCCATGTAGTAGGAGGGGAAAATCAACTTCCCAAAGTTGTAGTCTGTTCCCCTTATGTGCAGCCTGGCATATATGTGCCTGTGTATGTGTGTGTGTGTGTGTGTGTGTGTGTGTGTGCTCTTGCACACATATGTGCACACACACACTTAATGAAACATAGTAGAGTCATGGGCTGGAGACATAGTAAACCTGAGTTCATGAGTTTGATCTCCAAAAGCCACCTTTTTAAAAAGTTTAGATATAGTAACACTGACTTACGACCCAATTTCTACAGAGATAAAGAACAAAATGTCACTGAGATTTGGTGGCGAGTCAGTCTAGCCTACTTGGCAAGCTCCAGGACTGTTAACGGACACTGTCTCAAAAGAGAAGAAAGAGGAATGACACCACCCTTGGTTGTCTTCTGTCCTCCACAACCACACATACAAGAATGCACGAACACTCTTACACACACACACACACACACACACACACACGCTTTCACAAACATACTCATGAACATATTAGAGTTAGACTTTAAATAATAATTGTGGTTTTTCATGAGAATTTCATATATTTTGGTCATATTTGTTCCCTCAGTAACACTTCCCAGATTTCCTCTCACCTCCCTGCCCACACAACTTCCCCCTGTTTCTCTCTCTTAAGAATAAAATGCCGTGGGACCCAGTTTGTGTTGGCCGACGCCTCCTAAGCACAAGGCCTGCCATGGAGTGTGGCTGACAGATGCAGTGTCATTCTACTGGGAGGGGGATATCATATCCCATAGAAGAATGCCTAGGAGTTGGTTTTGTGTATGGATAAATCTGTCAAAAGCACAATGAGACATGCATTACACGCTGAGATTAAAAGCTTTCTTCCTGGAGCCGCCTAACGCAAGCTTGCTGTGTTCCCTCAATGTTCCACATTTCTTCCTTTGGGAAATGTTATTTTTAGACCAATATTCTTCAAATTTAAAACCTCACCCAAGTGTTATTTCCTCCCTAAAAACTTTGCCAGTGTTCTTGGGCAAAATTAACACCCATTCAACATGCTGGCCACTTTGCTGACCTGCAATAATTCACTGAGTTGCAACATTCCTAGTATTTTATGGTTTCATGATTAGAGACAATTTTCCCCAAGTCAACGCCCAAGTCTCCAATGTGTCCATACAATTCCTGGTTGGGGAGGTGCTCAGAGGGCAGGGACTACATTAATATACCTACTTTCAAGTCTTCTCAAGTCCTGCACCTCAATGGCCTCCTCTTTCCTGTTCCAGTTTATCCTCACAAGTCTTTGTAATCTCCCACAGTTTGTGAAGCAGGACTTCCCCACAAGTCACATATATCGCTGTTGGAGCTACAAGAAGGACTGGAGATGTTGTGGCCACCTGTCCTGTCACTGTTTCTTTTCCCTTATGGCATGGTTGCCTTAGAGAACACCGGGATTTCTAATGATCCACTTCCATCAGGGTTATAACATTTTTTATCAATTCTCTGAGAATTTCATAATGAATTTTGATCGTATTTAACTCCTACTAATCCCCAGCTCCTCCTAGATCAGCCCCTTACCTCCGTACTCAACTTCATGTTCTCTCTCTCTTTCCTTCTCCCAGCCTCCTTTAAAATAATAACAATTGGCAGAGTACAAAGTCTAGTTTGCACTGGCCACATACTAATGGGTGTCGGGTCATCCATCCACTGGAGATGGGTTGACCCATTCATTAGGAGTTTTAATCTAGGATTCTTCCCTAAATACCTTTAAAGGATTCTTCCCTTTGACCACAGATTAGAAATAGAGTTCTGGGAAGAGTCTTCAGAGTATGTCTGATGATTCAGGTCTAACCTCGTGCTGTCTTATAATGTTCTTGGGCTTTTCCCTGTCATCCAAGCTTGTATAATCTTTTAATTCTGTCTCTACGCAAACATTGTGTCAGTTTACTACATTATTAAAACCACAACCTAATACCTCCATAATTATGACTGTATTTTCACAATTCTACAAGATCACTGTTTTAGCATTGAGCCCTCCATCTCCTGACTTCTTTTCTCCCCTCTCTTCCTTTCCCTTCCTTCCTAAATTCCTTTCTTCCTTCCCGCCCTTTTACTCCTCTTACTACCTCTTGTTGATAATAGCACAAAATAAAATTTCACACTGTGCACAATGCTTGTCTTGGAAGCAGGAGCACCCTGAGCTTGATATCCAGAACTCACCATTTCAGAAAGGCTGGGCAGGGTCACTCTAGTCCTAGGGTGGTGAAGATCAACACATCACTGGGTTTGGTGGGCAGCTGTTTTAGCCTTCTTAGCATGCTCGGTCGGGCGCTGTAGCAGACACTGATGCACAAACTCCAGCCCTCATGGGGCTTGTACTCTGCAGTGGGGTAAGTGACACACTTGCCGAAGGACAAAAGATTCTGTGAACAATGTTGAGCAGGTGAATAGATGCATGAGTGTCGAGAAGACAGCTTGCTCCGGAGCCTTACCATGGGTCACTTCTTCATTTGACTTAGCTGTTTCCTAAGCAAGGTCATTTCTGGAACTGAGTTTGATGGTGATAATTTTCCTAAAGTGAAGTAAATATATTCCAAACATTTAAATGCACACTCAAGGTACTGTCAAAAACAGGTGGTTTTCACTCCTCCAGGGGAAGAATGGATTAGATCAATATGGTTTCGGTAGTGTGCTATACACCCTTCTTAGAGCTGTTTTTGCTACTTACAAAGTGCTCTGTTCTCTACTAAGATAACTGAATTGTAAAAGATGTGGGTCTGAGTCTGGAGAGCAAGGGGTAGAGATTACCAGGCAGAGATGTGCAGGAGCCTGGAGGACACCATACCCTGCCTGTGGCCTGGTCTCAAAAGGGCTAGAGGTGGGAAAGAAGGGAGATGAGACCCCCCCAGGCCTTCCATGAGCCTTGTCCTGCAGTGCCTGTCGCCTTTCAGAGCTCCTGTAGTCAGGGAAGCCCTGGCTTCCTCTGCAAACTGGATTCCTTCACATGCTGATCTTTGCATAGCTGTCTCTGCTCCTAGCTCTCCTACCTCGACAGGAAGGCAGCATTCTGGAACCACATTCCACAGTATTATGCTAAGAAGGATGAGGCCAGAGTGAATTCTGGGAGCTATGACTAATGTTTCTAAGAGCCCCACAGTGTTAACACTAATTGAGAGGAAAAGGAGTGTGGTCTATATAAAGCAAACAGTTTGTGCTGCACATATTGGGAAGGATTTTTTGGGGGTCTCTATTTTCTTTATTTCATTTTCCATTCCAACCAAAGTTCTCCCTCTCACACCTCCTCCTGCCTCCCCTTATCTTCCCCCTACCCTGCCTACCCCCCATCCACTCCTCCAGACAGTTAAGGGCTCCCATGGTGAGTCAACAAAGTCAGGCATATTAAATTAAGGCAGGACCAAGCACCTCCCCCCTGCTTTAAGGCTAGGCATGGCATCCCCTCATGGGGAATGGGCTCCAACAAGCTAGTTCATACACCAGGGAAAGATCCCGGTCCTCCTGCCAGGGGTCCTTCAGACATCCCAGGCTTCACAACTGTCTTCCACATGCAGAGGGCCTAGTTTGGTCCCATGGAGGCTCCACAGCTGTCAGTCTAGAGTTCATGAGTTTCCAAGAACTTGGTTCAGCTGTCTCTGTAGATTTCTCCAAGAACTGCTTGGTCAAGGCAGGGAGGGATGGAGAGGGAGAGCAAGGAAGGAGATATCCTGATAGAGAGAGACACTGTGGGGTTGGGGAGAAACCTGGTGCTAGGGAAATTCCCAAGGATGACCCCAGCTAAGAAGACTCCTGGCATTCGTGGAGGAGGTGACCTACCTGGCCTTCCTCTGTAGTCAGATTGGTGAATACCCTAACTATCCTCAGAGAGCCTTCATCCAGTAAGTGATGGAACCAGATGCAGAGATCCACAGCCAAGCACCAGGCTGAACTCTGGGAATCCAGTAGAAGACAGGCAGGAAGGCGTAAGGACAAGATCATGATGGTGAGGATTTTTCTAGAATGTGAGTTAGTGTAAAAGGAAGTGAAGCATAGTTTTCCTAGAGCGACAGGGATCTGGGGTTTGAACTCCTTTCACCCGACAGTAGAGAAGTGAACTTTCCAAGCAAATCCGATTTTCTCACTCTGCCCAGTCTTCCATTGCTGAACTCGTCTTTCCCTTTTCCGCAGTCATCTCCACAACCCTTCTGAAGCCTGTGCTCTGGGTCACCTTCATCTGTGTCTGCACACGGCTTGCTTTCTCTTCACTACTCATGAGCTGTGACTCTTACTTTATCACAAGTTCAGGTGTAACATTCAACAGAGTGGATAGTGTTAGGAATAATGCTCTTGGGGGACCTTGGCGGATCCCACAGCAGCCGAGGGTGACCAAAGTGGGCGACAAACTTGCCAAGCAAACAG